CCGAACTCAACCTCAATTTAGAACCTAAAGCTTCTTGCAAGCTTTTCCAAAAATCTGAAGTGAACCTCGGATCTCGATCCGAAACAATACAAAGAGGAATACCATGTAATCTCACAATCACATGCATATAAATTTCTGCCAACTTTGATACAGGATAAGTGATGTTAATAGGAATAAAGTGAGTCGACTTTTTAAGCCTATCAACAATCACCCAAATCGCATCATGTCCTCTAGGTGTATTCGGTAACCCCGTCACGAAATCCATGGAAATGCTATCCCATTTCCATTCTGGAATTTCTAACGGTTGCATCAACCCTGTAGGTTTCTGATGCTCCACCTTTGACTTCTGACATGTTAAACAAGCATACACAAACTGAGCTACCTCTCGTTTCATACCCGACCACCAAAATAATTTCTTCAAGTCTTGGTACATCTTGGTCGCTCCAGGATGAATACTCAAATTGCTTCGATGACTTTCTTCTAAGATCATTCTTTTCAAGTCCACATCATCGGAAATGCAAATACTATCTCGGAACCTCAACACACCTTGAGCATCCAATTTGAAATCCTCATTCTCCGTTTGTCCAATACTAACCATCAAGCCAACAAGCTTCACATCAAACTTATGAGCTTCTCTAATTCTATCAAGGAAATCATTATTGATCTTTAACATTCCCAAGATAACACTCTTCGGTGTTACCTCGATCACAAGACTCATATCTCTAAATTGTTCAATCATCTCCAACTCTTTCGCTATCAAAAGTGACATATGCAAAGTCTTTCGACTTAAGGCATCGACCACCATATTTGCTTTACCAGGATGGTAATTCAAGCCAAAATCATAATCTTTCAACAACTCAAGCCACCGTCTTTGTCTCATGTTAAGCTCTTTTTGATCGAACAAGTACTTCAAGCTTTTATGGTCACTAGACACCTCGAATCTAGAACCATAAAGGTAGTGCCTCCAAATCTTAAGTACAAAAACAACCGCCACAAGTTCCAAGTCATGTGTAGGATAATTCTTCTCATGAATCTTCAATTGTCTAGAAGCATAAGCAACCACTTTGTCATTTTGCATAAGCACACCACCTAGACCCATCTTGGAAGCATCGCAATAAACCACAAACGGTTCCTCCGGATTAGGAAAGATCAAGATCGGAGCCGTTGTCAACCTTTTCTTCAATTCAATGAAACTTTCCTCACATTTGACACCCCACATGAACGCAGCTCCTTTACAAGTCAACTTTGTCAAACGAAGTGCCAACTTAGAAAAGCCTTCGATAAACCTTCTATAGTAACCCGCCAAGCCTAAGAAACTTCTAATCTCCGTAACCGATTTAGGAGTTTCCCATCTTAACACCGCATCAACTTTCGAAGGATCAACCGCAATGCCATTATCGAAAGTGAGATGGCCTAAGAAACTAACTTCACTTAGCCAAAACTCGCACTTTGATAACTTAGCATAAAGCTTCTTCTCTTTTAACACTTCTAACATAATACGCAAATGCCCCGCGTGTTCTTCTTCTAATTTAGAGTAAATCAAAATATCATCAATGAAAACTACCACGAAGTGATCCAAGTAAGGATGGAAAATACGATTCATGTATTCCATGAATACTCCCGGTGCGTTAGTGACACCGAAAGGCATCACCGAATACTCGTAATTCCCATATCTAGTTCGGAATGCGGTTTTCTGAATATCTTCGTCTTTCACCCTTATTTGATGGTAACCTGATCTCAAGTCAATCTTACTAAACACGCGAGCACCAACCAATCGGTCCATCAAATCATCGATCCTTGGAAGCAGATATCTATTCTTGATTGTCACTTTGTTCAATTGACGATAATCGATGGTCTTATTTTCCTTCCAAACATCTTGTCATCTCAGATAGCACTGATTCATGATCTCATATCATCCCGGACCAACCTTTAACAACACCACCTGATGACAATGTGTCATCATCCCTTTCCATCTCTGACCAACCTTTAACAACACCACATGATGATGACATTTCCATTACACCACTAACCGAACTAACCATATTGATGACCCTATTCCTAACAACCCTATTACCATTGATAATGTTTCTAACCCTCCCACTAGAACCTCTTTAAGAATGAGGCAACATCCCACTTATTTGCAAGACTACATATGCTATTCTCTTACTGCTTCAAATAAATATTCCACGGGTATTCATTATCCTATGTCCAATTATGTTTCCCATGAACATCTGTCACCATCTTATTCTCACTATGCTTTGTCCTTAATTTCTAATATTAAACCTAAGTCCTATACCGAAGCATCCAAACATAATTGCTGGAAACAAGTTATGATGCTTGAACTTTCGGCCCTTGAAAAGAATGGTACTTGGAAGATTGTTGACCTTCCACCAGGTGTTAAACCCATTGGGTGTCGTTGGGTATACAAAATTAAATATTTAGCTGATGGTTCTATTGAATGATTCAATGCACGGTTAGTATCCAAGGGATATAATTAGATTGAAGGTCTTGATTATTTCGATACTTACTCACCAGTTCCTAAGATCACTATTGTGAGAACCATTATTGCTCTAGCTTCGTGTAAACAATGGTACATACATCAACTTAACGTAAATAGTGCATTTCTGCATGGTGAAATAGAAGAAGATGTTTATATGGTTACTCCTCCTGGAGTACATACAAGCAAGCCTCATCAAGTCTGTAAACTTATTAAGTCCCTCTATGGCCTCAAACAGGCTAGTAGAAGATGGTATGAGTGACTTACAACATTTCTTCTTTCACAACACTACACATAAGCTACTTCGGATCATTCACTCTTTGTAAACACTGACAAATCCCCCATCACAATACTGCTAGTATACGTTGATGATGTGATCATAACTGGCAATGACATCAAGGAATTTCACCAGATTAAAACAACCTTAGACAACACCTTCAAAATCAAAGATATGGGCCAGTTAAAATATTTCCTGGGCATTGAAGTTGCACACTCCAATGCAGGTATTTTGCTCTACGAACGAAAATATTGCTAAGACTTAATAGAAGACTCAGGTTTTCTTGACTCTATACTAGTTTCTACACTAGCAAATGCCACCCTCAAATTACACCAAGACTCAAGTGAACCTTACCACGATATTCCTTCCTATCGACGACTCATAGGGAGATTGCTATACTTGAATGTCACACAACCATATATTACTTTCTACACACAACAGTTAAGTCAATATATATATCACATCCCACAATTACTCATTTTAAGGCTGCACGTCGAGTCTTAAGGTACCTTAAATTGTGTCCAGCTCGTGGCATCTTGCTTCCACGTGATTCTACATTACAACTGCATGGTTACTTAGATGTTGATTAGGCAGGTTGTATCGATACACGTAGATCCATCTCAGGTCAATGTTTCTTCCTTGGTCGATCATTGATCTCATGGAGATCCAAGAAACAATTAAATGTGTCACGTTCATCCCCGGAAGTTGAGTATAGAGCTCTCGCGGCCACGACTTGTGAGCTCCAATGGTTGTTGTATCTTCTACAGGATTTGCATGTCACGTGCATTAAAACTCATGTCCTATACTGCGATAACCATAGTGCAATTCGTATTGCTTCCAATCCCGTTTTCCAGGAATGCACAAAGCACTTGGAGATTGATTGTCACATTGTGCGAGAGAAACAAAGCAAATGAGTTTTAAAATTACTACCCGTCAAATCTAAGGATCAGCTTGCGAATCTATTCACGAAGCCTCTTCTTCCTCGACCATTCCATGCATTCTTAGTCAAGTTGAAGATGATAAACATTTATCAAACTTCAACTTGTGGGGGGATATTAAACCATAACAACAATTCCATTTAACTAACTTCCATATTCTGTTATTTCAGTTACAAAAACAGTTAGAAGTTGTTATACCTTTAGGATTTTACTATAGTAATAATAGCATAGTTTGCTTATAGTACATTGCACTCTAATTGTATAAATATTACACTGTTGTTATTGTTTCAATCTAATGAGAATTCACTTTACAGCATGTTCATTTTGAGATCATAATACATAGCATAAGTTTACCTTTATCAAAAAAGAAATGTCATTGAAATTTTCTATGCCATTCTAAGGTTACACACTAAAACAGATAAAAACTCACAAATGATATACATACACCAACGCAAAAGTAACAACTAGTTTTATATATTGGTTCATATATAATAGCACACATACGAACTTATGTGGAAGCTTGTTGCAACAGGCTTTTCTGTTTTCAGTTTATATAAAAGCTAAAACATAGAGCTTCTTAGCAAGTACAAAACTAAATTAGCTTAGCTTATCTAAAGTTAGTAGTCAATATAGTAAGAAAATCTTAATCAAATATAACCAAACCACTCAATCTTAATCAACCACACATAACAAGAACACATTATTCATGTGATTCAAACAAGAATGCACTTTTTTTTTCAACAGCAAGACTTCAAATGAACATACCAAAGTACAATAATCTTATCTTTTAAAGATCTACATATTTTTACACATAATGATCATTCTAGAGTAATTCAAAAGCTTCATAAACTTCAATGTTGTAATCTTGATGACTAATTCAGGATGTTTAGCAGTTCTCAGTCATAGTCACCCTTGTTGGTCCTTATAGTGTCTCAAAGATGGTATGACATACACATGAATCATAAAGAAAACCAACAATAATACCTTTCCATATGGTAAAAAAAATAGCAGTATTAATGCACTCACCAAGGTTTTTCACATTGCAAACATGACCAACTTTCTTTGTTCTTTGTTCTTGGTCATATACAATTGATATTCACTGCCAAATTCGTTCGTCTTCGTCGTGGTTGATATCCATCTCACAACTCACCACTATCGTGGACCACCATCATCTACCCACGGTTTATTTTTCTTTTAACAAATGACATACAAATGAAATATGAACATTAGTTTATGCAATTAAACTTCAAGATACCATCTCTCAAATTAACAGCTTAAAACAGATACATTAAGAATCCTTTTGGAAAACATGAACTTTAAAAACTATATCTTCCTTGTTTATCAGTTCGAAGATGCAAATATCTCCTGGTTGCAATCCACTTTCCCTTGCAAAAGACGACCAACCACCCGAAATGCGACGCTCAGTTTTATGTTTGTAACAGCACCGGAGCAGTTTCACATTCCATGATCTACTACCAATCTGCAGTTTCACATTCTTCTTCGTGTTCTCAATAACCCCGTTTAAATTCGATACACCCTGCATTGTATATATAATTTATAATGACAACTTCACAACATAAATAACATGCATATATGATATATGCATGTATGCATAGCATTGCATGAATAATGTAAATGTTTTGTGTTTGAATTTACCAGCCGTTTTTCTACCAGATTAGAAGGCTTGATCACAATTGTGAGAAAAGGATTGCTTGAGATAAAGTTTGCAGCTACTTCCCGAGCTCTAGCTCCAATTGGCCTATTCAATGATGAAGTTCTTTCACTATTCTTCTCAATCTCACCTGCATATATATGTTGAACATAAAAAAACAAACACTCTTAGATAATATACCACACAAAGTACATGGCAAAGTAAGAATAAAAAACAGAAAATGAAATCCAAATACCTCTAACTTTTTTATGTGCTCTAGTAGAAACTAATGGCAACTTCTGTATAACCTTCTTCCTATTAAGCCATTCATTCAAAATCTCATCTGATTCATCATCACTATCATCAACATTCAAAATATCAACAGTGTCGCACTTAGAATCATAGTCAATTTCAAGTGCATTCTGGCCAAGTATTACTACATCTAACTCTGATGTTCCCTCTTTATATTTAAACACCACTAAACAACCATGTTGTAGAGAGTAATTTTGAGTAAAAATACTCCAACCCTTTTCAAACCAAATCTCACCATTGATGTTTCTCCAAAACACTTTCCATGCACTGCCATCAGGAGGCTTGATCATCACTGGATTTGATATACCAGCTCCAAGACTCCTTGTAAACTTATTTGGCATTTTCTGTAAAAAAAAAACATTAATATTAGAATTATAATTTCTCAAAAAAATAGGTAGAACATAAAGTAGTGAAGAGTAGTAGTAAATCAAAAGGAGTTAATGGTTACAATAGTTTGAAGACTGGTTTGAAGAATAAACTTGAAGAAACAGATGGGGAGGGTTGAATTTCCTCCAGCCATTGATGGTGAAGTTTGAGGAAATAATATGTGTGCTACTCTTCTTCTATCTTCTATACTTATAATAATGCTGAATCTAGCATATAATAATGCTGAATCTAACAAGCATGCCCTATATCCTAGAATCACTATTACTACAGTATTTCCTCCATTTCAAAACGATAATATTTAAAAAATTTCCACACAAATTAAAAAATACAATAATATAAAATATATTTTTATTAAATTAATCATATTAAAGTATTAAAAGTGATGTACAGTCTAATAATTAAAAAATTATTATTATTATTATTACATTGAAAAGTGAAAATAATATTTAATTTAAAATAAATTTTATTTATTAAAACCAACAATCATTTTAAAATGAAAGGACTATTATATCTCGGTCCGAAAGCAAGCAACACACTTCATTTACTTATTCTTATTATTAACCTATCTACCTAATCTTATTATTACATCTCCTGCTCGTCTTTTCATAGTTCATCTTTCTGCTTCTTTTTCTAAAAACAGACAATATAGTAACTGTGAAAATGATTTTTAATAGGACTTCTTCCGTTTTGTATTGAATGTTGTTTAAGATTTTTATATATAAATTAAAGAATATAATCATATTAATATTATTATGAGATATTATATTTTTATTAAATTAATCTGATTAATTTATTAGAAATATTATACAAAATAATAATTATATGACACAATTAAAAAAATAACTATCATTATTACATTGAAAAACGAAAATAACATTTATTTTAAAACGAATTTTTTTATTTAAAACGTCACTAATTTAAAACGGAAGGAGTGTATTATTAGTTCAAGTCTACAAATTGTGCTAGTATGTGTATGTTCCAGATATCTATCACTTCATTTGCTTATTAGAAGTTGACAAAGATTGGTTAAAAAATTATTGAGGACGGACTTATAGAGGATGATTTATAAATTACTACTAGTAGTTGACAAAGATTACGTATAATCTTTTTGATTGAATTTTTAATGATTAATAAAATTAGCGATTGAAATAATTTATAAATATGAAATGAAAAAAACTTTAACAAATTATTCTAATTAAAATTAAGAAGATAAATTTGAAAGGAAAAATTACAAATTATAAATAACTTGAATTAGCTTATTAAAATAAGATATAAAGTCAAGAAAAATGACAGATATCAAATAGAGCTATAAAAATTCTCTTATCAAATAGAGCCATAAAAAATATTTTAAAAATGTTTATATATAAAAATATTTATGTCTATTCACATTCTTGTAAAATTGATATATAAATTTGTTAGAACATGAAACTTAATTGGTGAATCAATGAAGGTTTTGATGTTTGTAGAAAAGATGAAGTGAGAAAATAAGAAAATTAGAGTGAGAGAGAGTAATTGATATTGAGAAGAGAAATTATCATTAATTTTGTATATTATACCACAAAAGATTTTTATACAAGCAAGTTATATCAATTGGGAGCTAAAAACATCAAATAAACAAGTTGAAAACACAAAAACTCGGACTTGTAACCGGTTACATCATTCCATGTAATCGATTACCATTCTAACTAACATAAGCAAATTATCCAAATTTGTCTGCATGTAACCGGTTACCAATTTGAAAAACTGCTTTTTTGCTTTCCAGAAGTGCTTATTTCAGAAGTTGTAATCTGTCATCAACCTCCAGTGACTTGCTACACCCACTTGAATTATTATTTTAAACTAACACATCATCTTAACTCAAGTGCTCCAAGTTTTACATTCTCATGCTCATCTTTAATCTCTTGAACACATCATTTGTGACTCCTTTTGTCAACAAATCAGCAACTTGGTCTTCACTCCTACAATATCTCAATCTTAACTTGCATTCACTGACAAGATCCTTCAAGTAGTAAAACCTTATATCAACATGCTTGCTCCTCCCATGTGCAATTGAGTTCTTAGTAAGATTAATGGCTGAAACATTATCAACCAAGAGTGTGACAACATCACCCTCATTGCTGCCCGGCTCCTGCAGTAAAGTCATTAGCCACACAGATTGACACACACATAACGACGCGATAATATACTCGGCCTCACAAGACAAGAGTGCAACTACTGGTTCCTTCTTAGAAAACCATGAGATTGGTGCTTCTCCAAACATAAAGATGTATCCGACTGTAGACTTACGATCATCTTTATCTCCGCACCAGTTGGAATCCGTAAAATTAAGAAAATTGCATTTTCTGCCTGTATCTGCTGCGGGAAAGAGAATTTCGCAGTCAGTAGATCTTTTGACCTATCTTAGAATTCTTTTGACTATTGCCAAGTGAGACACCATCAATATCTCCATGAATCTACGCGTATTGCACAAGTAATGTAACGATCCAATCAATATCTTATATTGAGTATGATCTACATTCTGCTCATCCTCACTTTTAGACAGCTGCAGCCTTCCTTCATATGGTGTTATGGTAGAATTACAATGCTCTATATCATACATTTTCAAGATTTCAAGAGCATATCTCCTTTGATGCATGAGTTGTCCCATTTTTTACTTATGAAGCTCCATATCAAGGAAGTATATCATAATCCCAAGGTCATTCATTTCAAATTCTTTCATAAGTTCTCATTTGAACTTAGAAATACTCAACTCATTGCTGCCTTTGATCAACAAATCATTCCCATGTAGACAAAGTATGATCACACATTCACTTACATCCAACTTCACATAAACTGCATGCTCGGACACACATTTCTTGAAGCCAACATCAACTATGAAACCATTTATCAGTTTATTCCAAACTCTCGGAGCTTGATTTAAACCATATAACGTTTTTCTAAACTTGTAGAACCTATCCTCTTGATTTTTCACAACAAAACCAGGGGGTTGTTCTACATTTACCTCTTCTTCAAGGAGATCATTCAAAAACGCGAATTTCACATCTATTTGATATATCAACCAATTGTTGTTATTCGTAATACCAACAACCAGCCGTATGGTTTCAAGTCTAGCAGTTGGTGCAAACACCTCATCGAAGTCTTACCTTCTCTTTGCAAAAACCCCTTCGCAACTAATCGAGCCTTATGCTTGATTATCTCATCTTTTGGATTTTCCTTCACTTTGTATACCCATCTCACACCAATTGGATTCTTACCTTTTAGAGGATCAACCATCTCCCAAGTACATTTTTTCTCAATCGATTTTAGCTCCTCTTTCATTGCACACACTCACTTTGGATCACTTAATGCCTCTTCCATATTAAAGGCCTCAAATTCAGCCATAAGCACAAAGTGAACGAAATCACCATCATCATTGATCTCGTTATCCTGGAACATCTCACAATCTTGGAGTCTTTGAGGAAAACCTCTCTTCCTAGTTGGTCATCTAACATTTTCCCCTGTTCGAGCTATGATAGGAAATTGTTCCGAACTATTAGAATTTAAAAATTCATTTTGGTGACTGGTTACATGTTGTTGACAACATTTTTCAGGCAGCTTAACGCGCTTCAGATCATCGACAATGACATCCTGGCTGATCACGATCCTCTTATTTTCAACATCAAACAACTTATAACCACCAGTAAGATGATACCCAATAATTAACATCATCTCACCCTTGTCATCCAACTTCTTTCTAAGTTGAACCAAAATATGTAGATATGCTACCGAATCAAAAACTCTCGAATGTTTTAGATTCGGTTTGAATCCAAACCACATCTCTTCTGGATTTAGCTTCTCAGACTTTTTCGTAGGGCACATATTCAACAAATAAGAATTTGTGAAACCGGCTTCTCCCCATAGCTCTTTCGGAAAGTTTTTCCCCTTTACCATGCTTCTCACCATGTTCATGATCGATCAATTTTTCCTCTCGAAAACACCGTTTTGATGAGCTGTATAGGGTGGTACAACCTCATGCATTATCCCCCCCCCCCCCCTTCATCACAATACTTCCCAAAGTTATTTGAGACATATTCGCCTCCCCCATCCATTTTGAGAATTTTAAGCTTGTGACAGCTTTACCGCTAAACCATAGACTTAAACTTCTTAACACTTCAAATACCTCATCCTTTCTCTTGACTAGGTATGTCCATAACTTTATACTAAAGTCATTGATAAAAGTGACAAAATACATATTTTCACCATACAAATCAGCTTGTGTTAGCCCACACACATCATAATACACTACCTCAAGGTGATGCTTGGTTCTATGACCTGCATCCTTTCTGAATTTACTCTTGTATTGCTTCCCTTGCACACACTCTTTACAAATCTTAGCTGGAATATTAATGGAAGGGAATCTGGTTACCATACCATTTCTTTTCAACGCATTGAGATCTCTAAATTGAGATGCCCAAGCCGGTAGCACCACAACCACTCATCTTGACTTACCTCTGTAGTAAGACACCTATGATCCATCACTTTTAACTCAATTTTGAAAGTCCTATTGGAAGCCATAGGAGGTTTAAGGACCAAAACCCTATTTCCATCCAAAACACGCAAAATCTTATCTTCCATGTGAGTCTTGTAACCTTTCTCAAGCAATTGGTCAATATAGAAGATTACATTTAATTCTAGAAATGTATAGAACATTTTTGATCAAGAAATGACCACCATCCCTTCTCATGATCAAACATCACTGACCCCGTCGACCGCTAAAATGGTGTCATAAGTGAATTTCACTTTATTCTCCGTGGCTTCATTGATTTCAATAAACCAATCCTTCATACCCGTCATATGTGTTGAATAACTAGAATCCAAGTACCACTCTTCACTACATTGGGCTTCATCTCGCACAGTCACTATAAAATTTTCTTTCAAATGTGTTTCTGCAACGTTCCCGAAACTGTTGCAGTTGCCGTTCAACAACTTTCTACTATTGTTGTTGCTGCTCGGCAGCCTACTGCTGTTGCAATCATCTTTTGTGATCATGACCAATAGCGTGTTTGAAATGTCCCGACTTATTTTATTTATTTTCCATAACTTAATTATGTGGTATTTGGTGATTATGTGGTATTGTTTGGTTTTTTGGTTTTT